CCACCGGTGTTCACGTCCATTTGTCATTAGTCACAGCAGGCGCGGAGACGGGCGGGCTCGGCAGGTGTGGAGTGTGAAGTACGGGACATGGCAAGAGCTGGTGTAAAGTGTGAACTCACCGAGTGACCTTCTTGTTTCTTAAGGCTTTGGCACCAGCTGACTCTGCAAGTTTTGGACTTTGTTCAGGACCCTTGCTTTGCCCAAGGAGATGGACTCATCAAGGTGAAGTGCTTGATTGTTGCCAGGGGTTTTATCTTTCCATAGCAAAACCAAATGATGGTATTTTTTTTACTAGCGAAAAATAAGCAGTCTGTGACTTGTCTCTGGAGAATTATTAAGCTAGGTGAATTCAGCTTTCTGGGGTTTATGAGCTAGATGTGATTGTGCAGTATGAAAATTTTGCTCAAATTAAATGTGTCGATTTTAGAGGCTTCAAAATTATTCTTTAATTTTATTCACTTTTGTTTTGGGGGGGAGAGAGAGCCTTTTTCTTTCCCTTTTGTAACAGGGCGTTTACAGCTGCAAGTGTAGGATTGTCAGGTGTTTACAAATACTTCAAGGTATTCGGTGGGGTGTTTCACCCACTGTCTGGGAGGTTCTTCCACTTATGAAGATAATTGTCTGTATGCTACAGGTAATCGTGTACTTTCGTGCTCCTTTGTGGTTTTAGGTTAACATTCAGTTTCTGAGGAGTAGTTATTTCCATGATAAAGTGCCATGGGTTTCTAGAGACGGTCTCTTTCCCAAACGTCTGCAAGGAGATACTGGAAAGCTTTAGGCCCGTGCTTATTGTACAGCGACAACTGAAGACATACACCAGGCCAGCCTGTAGGAGGGCGGTGTTGTGCCGTAGTGCCTGCTAGCTTGTGAGTTTCTTGAATCACTCCTTGCAGTTGGAAGGAGGCTGCAGAGATAGAATTATCTAAAATGAGCAATTTTGGGGTCTTGGATTCTGTACAGCGTAGACATTTCTGTACTGGATGCCCACTACTTTGTTGGAAGAATGAATTGGAATACAGTGAAAAGCGAGTGTCGTAGATGAAACGAAATATCCTTTTGCCCTGACTGTCGATATCTTTGTGCCTACAGCTGTATGAGAACTTCATCAGTGAGTTTGAACACAGGTGAGTTCGGTTGCCTGGAAGTTTTTAGGTAACCTGCTGCTGATTGAGACTGTTCTGACCATGAGCCTTTTGTTCTAGGGTGAACCCCTTGTCCCTGGTAGAAATCATTCTCCATGTAGTCAGACAGATGACAGGTAAGCGTCCTTCCCTGTTACAGTATTTTGAAGCAACTGATGCCTGTGAAATTTGACTAGTTAATAGTAACAGCTAAATCTTCAATGTTAAGCTATTGTCTTTCTGGTGTATTGAAACGGGAAAGCTCTGACTCAAAAAGCTTATAATTGCTGCTCATAGAGTAGCAGGTCCGCTGCTCTGCTAGAGAAATGGCTGATGCGCAGAAGGCCCGGCCTACGGTAGTAGCACCTTTTGAAGGTGGAGCAGTACGCTATAGAAAAAATATATTCCAGTCTTCATGAGTCCAGTAAAAGGATATATTTCTAGGTTGAGATTTTAGTTTCATGGGAATTCCTGATATTGCTGCTTTTTTTTTTTTTTTTTTTCCCCTCTACTTCAGATCCCAATGTGGCCCTTACTTTTCTGGAAAAGACTCGAGAAAAGGTATTTTTGAAACTGCTCTCTCTGATAGTCCACCTGCAGGAATCGTTTTGCATATGAGCATATATGGTATAGCTGAAGAGGCAGATATGTGTATGTTGAAACCTGCGCTGGAGAATGCCTACTCCTTTTCACAGCAAACAACTCTGTATTTTAATGCGGGAACATGGTAACAAATGAAATGTAACCAACGCAGTCTAGGTTTCAAGAGCCTACCTGGCTGCAAGGGTAGCACTCTCTGAACATGTATCTTTGCGTAACTGCAGGTAAAAAGCAGTGATGAAGCTGTCATCTTGTGTAAAACGGCCATTGGGGCGCTCAAGCTGAACATTGGAGACCTGCAGGTTACCAAGGTGAGGGGGTGACTTGAATAGTTCGAGTGTTTGGATATTTTGGAGCACTGTGACGCACTTCAGCAGTTACTACAGCATGGACCTGCCTGTGTCTGTGCTTCAGTTTTGAATGAGAAGATGATAAATTTGCAGCTTGTGGGGTTTCCAGGAAGACCCGTGGTTCTGCTGTACATCTTGTAGGCCATAAAAGCGCATGTGTAGTATTTACGGCCAAATCTCTGACGTTTCAGTAAGGTTCTGATGCATATAGCCTTTGAGGTGCTGTTGCTTGTGGGTGCCTTGCAGCGGATTGCTGCAGCTGTTGGTGTGCAGAGCGCAGGCGAGAGGGGGGAAAAAATATCTCGATATATTCCAGTGCAGAGCTTAGAGGGCCTCATGAA